CGGGCCGGGCCGCGCTCCGGCTTGGCCAGGCCCTCTCAGGCCCCGGCAGTGGCGGCGGTCGGGCCATTGTGCGGTGCATTGTGGGAGCCGCACGAGCGGGCCGCTCGGGTCGTGGAGGGGGCGGTGCCGCGGGCTCTCTATGATCCCGCCCGCCCGCCCGCAGGCTAGAGCGGCCCGGGCGGCGCGCGAGTAGCGCGCGGGGAGTGCCGGGAGCGGGACGGCCGCTGGCGCTCCTCCCTTCCTCGTCCCTCCCTCCCTCCCTCCGGGCCGAGGCGAGCTCGGGCATTTGCCGCCGACATGGGCGCTGTCGCGTCGGCACGGCCGCCCCTGCTGCTACGGGCGTCTCTCCTGCTGCTGTTCTTGCTGCTCCAGGGGTTGTCGGTGGGCTCCTGGGACCTGGCGGGTTACCTGCTCTACTGTCCCTGCATGGGTAAGGCCTCCCGAGCCCTCTGCTCAGATGGTGAAACTGAGGCCTGGAGAGGGAAGCCACGCCTCTGAGGCGCCCAGAGACAGCTTGCTAGGCCCAGGAGAGACCTCCAGAGCGCGGCTTGGCCCTAGTTGCATGGGTACAGAGGGGGCTACTGGTGTTCGACTTGCCGTTTTACGGATGGCAAAACTGAGGTTGGAAGAGGTTGTGTGACTCGCACGAGATCCTCGTCGACTCGGAGTTTGTAGGCCAGGACTTGATGCCCCTGTCTTAAATCGCCGTCCCCTGGCAATTCTTTCATTCATTCAGAAAATATTTATGTCGCACCTTTTCTGTGCCAGGCGCATGTTCACTGTGCTGGTGGGACTGACAGAGAAACCTCATACCTTTATAGACCCTTCGTTTTAGGAAGACAGACAATAAAAAAATTAAAAAAAAAAACTTTAAATAGTGCATAATTTCGTAGATGGTAAAAGTTATGGGAAAATAAAAGATATTAAGGACTCCTGAGTCCGTTGAGGCGTACAATTTAAATAGAGTAGTGGATCATCATAAGTCATTCTTAGCCTTACCTGACCATGGTCTTCACCTTTCATGATCTGGTCCCTCTCTGGTCTTCTCCACAACCTTTTCTCTTTTGACCCTTCAGTTATGGCCACACTTACTTGCTTTCTGTTCCTCACACACACACACACACACACACACACACAGATCCATGAACTACTACTCCTTCCTAGAACACGCAGGCCTTCCCATTTTTTTCTTTTCTTTTCTTTTTTTTTTTTGTCTTTTTGAGACAGGGTCTCCCTGTAGCCCCAGCTATCCTTGCACTCACTATGTAGACCAGACTGGCCTTGAACTCACAGAGATCCGCCTCCCTCTGCCTCCCAAGTGCTGGGATTAAAGGCATGTACCACCACGCCTGTCTTTTTTTCTGGGTGTGTGTGGGGGGTGTCTTTGAGACAGAGTCTCCCTGCAGTCCCAGCTGACCTAGAACTCACTATGTAGACCAGGCTGGCTTTGAACTCAGAGATCCGCCTACCTCTGCCTCCCAAGTGCTGGAACTAAAGGTGTGCACCACCACGTCCAGCCCAGGGCTTCATTTCTGCCCCACTCACTCATCCTATACATCTCACCAAAGAGGACACCATTGACCTCTGCTCAGATAACCTTTTTTTGGAGGGGGCTTTTTGAGACGGTCTCCCTGTAGCCCCAGCTGGCCAGGCACTAGCTATGTAGATCAGGCTGGCTTCAATCTCAAAGAGATCTGCCTTCCTCTGCCTCCTGAGTGCTGGGACTAAAGGCCTGCGCCAACATGCCTGACTCAAGTAACCTCTTTATTACACTCCATCAGCAAACTTTTAAATTTTTTTCTTGAAATTATCAAAATCTATCGGAATAAATATGTTTTCATGTTTAGTGTCTCCAGTATGACCTGAGCACCTTCAGGGTAGAGATTTTGTCCTTATTCCTATATTCTGACAGCACAGAATCTGGCTCACAGTAGTCTTTGAGTAATATTTGTGGGGTGTATGAATCAATGACGTTGAAGATAACAAAAAGATTCAGACAGGTCCTTGCACCTGAGGTGTTCACAAGCTGAATAAACAGCCAGTGTGAAAAGTCAGGAAGTGAAAAAAAGACACTTGAGGGAAAAATGACAAATATAAATGGCTCAAGCTGTGGTTCTAGCTCGTGGTAAAGTGCTTGCCTAGCATGAATGAGGTGCTCAGGTCAATCCCCAGCACCAATATAAATAATCTTGTTTTAGACTGGGCATGGCACGTGTCTATAATCCTACCATTCAGGAGTCAGAGGCAGGAAGATCACCAGGAGTTTTGAGGACAATCTGGTCTACATAACAAGTTCTAGGCCAGCCAGGACTACATAGACCCTGTCTCAAAATAAACAAGAGCCCAGCATGGTGGTACATACCATTAATTCCAGCACTCAGGAGGCAGAAGCAGGCAGATCTCTTTTAGATTGAAGCCAGCCTGATCTACACATTTGAGTTCCAGGCTAGCTGGGGCTATAGAGAAACCCTGTTTCAAAAAGGCCAAATAAATAAATAAATAATAACTCAAATCCATGGTCAGAGCAGGCAAATTGGATAGGGGTTGATGAAGGGGTCTTAGTGAATGAGACATCGGAATCACCCTTTCATGTGCAAGTAAATGGGGAGATGGAAGAGCACTCCTGGCAAAGACAGCAAGCAGAGTAGGAATAATAGAGTGTGTTGAAATAGCCAGGAACCTGAAGTGGCTAAGGCAGAAGGGGCAGGGCCTACAGGGCCTTGAATGTCAGAACCAGGACTCTAGACTTGCTCTTATAATGCCAGCTTTTCCAGCTTACCATGGTGACTTGACCCTTCCCAGTCCTGGATCCACATCCTTTCTAAGCCCTCCATAGACCATGCCATCATTGCCCTCAGGCCCCTCCACCCTCAATGTACCATTTCTAGGACGCTTTGGGAACCAGGCTGATCACTTCTTAGGCTCCCTGGCATTCGCAAAGCTGTTGAACCGTACCTTGGCAGTACCTCCATGGATTGAATACCAGCATCACAAGCCTCCTTTCACCAACGTGAGTACTTATGTCAACTGTGTCCCCTGTGCACCCTTCCCCAGGCTTGCTGACTTATGCGTGACAAGACTTTCCCTCCACTCCATTGAGTTTGTCCTGTTCTCTGCACAGAATCGTCTTACTTGAAATAGCAATGACTAACTTATCCAACACTTGCCTATGCTGGCACTGTATGAGGATTAGCTCGTCCTTCCCATAGCTCATCCTTGAGGAAATTGGGGTTTAGAGAGGTTGGGCAACTTGCCCAAGATCACAGTCTATGGCTAGTAGGACTGAAATTCAAGCCCAGGGCTGTCAGACTCCCAGAGCCTGTGGCTTGAACATAAAGCCTCCATTTCTACCCCACCTTATGTACATCCCACTGGTCAATTATAAGTGATGAATGCTATCAGTTTTAAAAGAGAAACTGAGGCATGGATTACTTAATGATATGTTCAAAGCCACAGACCCAGGCAGTCTGGCTCCAGTGCTGCCTCTCATCCCATCAAGGGGCTCCCTATGCATGATGACAGTGTCCTCTGGTATCTAGATCATTCAGTGTATCTTCTAATGGCCCTATGTTTCTTTTTGTTCACACTGTGTCCCCAGGGATCTGGAAGTAGGAAAGTAATATTTAATGAATTGACTTAAAAAGTTTAAATTAAAACAAAACAGTTTAAATAAGCCAAATGTGGTGGTATACATATTTATTTATTAATTTGTTTATTTATTTATTTATTTATGTCTTTTTGAAGCAGGGTCTCCCTGTAGCCCCAGCTGTTCTGGAACTCACTATGTAGACCAGGCTGGCCTTGAACTCATAGAGATCCGCCTGCCTCTGCCTCCCAAGTGCTGGGACTACAGGCGTGCACCACCATGCCTGGCTAATATTTTATTTATTTTTTATTTTATGTCTATGAGTGTATTGCCTGCATGTTTGTAAGTGCATTTGTGTCATGCAATGCCTGAGGAGATGAGAAGAGGGTGTTGGATCCCCTGGACCTGGAGTTACAGGTGGTTTTTAGCCACCGTGTGGGTGCTGGGAATCAAACCTGGGTCTCACAGAAGAGCATCCAGTGCTCTTAACCACTGAGCCATCTCTCCAGCCTGGTGGTGTACATATTTAATTCCAACACTCTGGAGGCAAAGGCAGGTGGATCTCTATGAGATCAAGACCAGCCTACTCTACATAATGACTTCCAGGCCAGCTGGGACTATAGGAAGACCCAGTCTCAACTCCCCCTCCCACCCAAAAAAAGTTTAGATAGTTATCAAAATTATGCTTAGTCTAAACAAAACACAGCATTTTATTTATGCCTTTTTTCTGCATTGGTTTTATTTTCTATTTTTCATGCATACCTGTATTTAGAAAGCCTCCCCCGTTCTCCCACTGCTAGGGATTGGCCCCAAGGCCTTGTAAGTGCTAGGGAAATGCCCTACCACTGAGCTGTACCCCTAGCCCTGGAGTACTTATTAACAGAAATTAAAAGCCAGAGAATCTGAGACTACAACTTGGCCACTTCCTAATTATGTGACCTGGTCAAAGTACTTAAACCTTTTTGTGCCTCAGTTTCTTCATCTTTAAAATAGTCTGTAACAACTGGCTACCTCCCCAGTGAGGACTGAATGAGCTACTGACAGTAAATGCCTGGAATGTGCCCCATGCCTCCCTGTTAGAATCAGCTGAGTCCCTCAATATGAAGACCCCAGGACATGGGAGGTCCTCAGCTTCTGGGGTCTACTGATCTCATTTTTTTGCCTTCACTGTATAGTGTAGGTGTTGCTCATCTATCTGGTTGGTTGTATCCTCACCATCTCAGTCAGGTGTCACAGGGTCTCCACTTTCTTATGGGTTATGGGTTTCTCAACCTGCCCCAATTGAGCTTCCCTTTCCTAAGTGACCATTCACATTGAGGTCACCAGGGACCTCAGGATTGCAAAATCCAGGTTTGTTTCTCTTTCGTGTCTCACCTGACCAGTGGCCCTTGGCCTGGTCAGCATTTATTTTCCCTAAATATCCCTCTTCTCCTGGCTTCTAGGACATTGCATATTCCTGCTGTAGCCCTGGCCTCTCAGCAAGGTCCTGTTTTTTGTTCCCTCCTGGGATCTGCTCTCTTCGCCCACTGTTCTGCCGAGGGTGCTTGTCCTTCCTCTGTTTGGTGTTAGCTCTGTGGCCTCAGATGAGTCAGATGACCAATCCTTGTAAAAAGATGAGTGCAGCACCTGGCACTAAGTCAGCACTCCATGAATAGTAGTTGCTGTTATTACCATTACCTTGCTTTGCTCTAAGTTTCTGTTGACTGTTGTGGCTTTCACTATTCACTTTATACCTCCAGTATATCTGGCACAGACTCTTCTCTGACTACAGACTGGTGTGTCTTACTGCTAAATACTCAAGTCTACTTAGATGTCACAGATATCTCAAATTCACAAAGCTACAAAACCACCTTTCCCCTCAAACCTGTGTCACTATCTCTAAAGTATAGACCATCTCCACTCACGTGGGTACCAAGCCAGGAACCTAGATTTCATCCTAAATGCCTCTCCTGAATATACACTCAGCTCTCAAACCCTAACCCGAATCTTCACCTTCTTTTGCATCTTGTACCTGTCTAGACCACTTCATCTCTCACTTAAAAGTGTGGGAGGTACACATTAAATGCATAAATACATGTATAAGAATGCTGGGTGTGGTGACTCATGCCTGTCATCTCAGCACTTGAGAAGCTGAGGCAGGAGGCTTGCTGAAAGTTTGAGGCTAGCCTGGGCTACATATATAGAGAGCGCTATGTCCAAAAATTTATTTAATTTTATTTATTTTATTTTTAATGTATATGAGTGTATTGCCTGCATATGTGTAAGTGCACCTGTGTCATACAATGCCTGAGGAGGTCAGAAGAAGGTGTTGGATCTCTGGAACTGGAGTTATAGATGGTTTTTAGCTGCCATGTGGGTACTGGAAATTGAACCCGGGTCCTCTGCAAGAGTAGCCAATGCTCTTAACTGCTGAGCCATCTCTCCAGTCCGTCTCCAAAATTTTCTAAATAAAAATAAGTGACTAAGGGGCTAGAGAGTTGGCTCAGTGGTTAAGAGCACTGACTGCTCTTGCAGAGGACCCGGGTTCGATGCCCAACACCCACATGGTGGCTACAAACTGTCCTTAACTCCAGTTCTGGAGAATCCGAAGCCCTCTTCTGGCCTCCGCAGCATTGCACGACATGGGTGCACTCACATACGTGTACGCAATACACTTGTACACACAAAATAAAAATAAAATATTTTAATCTTAAAAAAAAAATTGACTAGCCAGGCACAGTGGCCTTTAGTCCCAGCACTCGGGAGGCAGAGGCAAGCGGATCTCTGTGAGCTCAAGGCCAGTCTAGTCTACATAGTGAGTTCCAGGACAGCTGGGGCTATAGGGAGACCCTGTCTCAAAAAGAATTTTTTATTAAAAAAAAAATGGGGGGACTAAATAATTCATTCTTGAACAAAAACAAGGAAGATTGCAAGTAGCCTACTGATTCCTCTCCCTCCTCTAAATCTTGCCTGATCAGTACATTTTCTTCTCTGTCACCAGAGCAATCCTTCCGAAAAGGCAAATCTTACTAGGCATGGTGATGCAGACCTATAATTCCAGCACTTGGGAGTCTGAGGCTGGAAGATTATGGGTTCAGGGCCAATTGGGACTACATAACAAGTACCAGTCCCTTCAGGGCTGTATAATGGAACCTTGTCTCAAAAAAGGGGGGAAATTTCATATTATTTTTTAAAGGTCTTCATCTGGGCCAGCAAAATGTGATAATGGCCTGTGCTTATCTCTTACAGGTGGACAGCTAAGTATTCAAGAATGAAATGGTGTATCTGATATGTGCTTTAAACTAGTCCCGTTTTAACCCAGCATGGTGGCACAGGTCATTAATCCCAGCACTCAGGAGGCAGAGGCAAGCAGATCTCTGTGAGATCAAGGCCAGCCTGGTCTACATAACAATTTCCAGGCCAGCTGGTGCTACAGGGAGACCCTGTCTCAAAAAAACACAAAATCCTTCAGCTGGACCAGCAAAGTGGCTCAGTGGGTAAAGGCACCTGCTGACAAGCTTGACAACCTGAGTTCCATCCCTAGGACCCACACGGTAGAAGGTGAGAACTGACTCCCACAAGTTGTCCTCTGACTGCCACACATAAACTGGCACACGCACACACGTACACACACTAATACCTCACTGCTAATAGGGTACCCATAGTCTGTTCATTGGAATACCAGTTGCCTATGCAGAAGGACACTGTGGTTAAATGAGCTTGGAAAATTATATTTTCAATTCCCCTTTGTCCCAAACTTGCAGATTCATAATGTACAGTTGCATGGTAAAGGCCCTGAAAAGTCCTGCTGCAGTAAAGAAACCAGCTTAAACAATATCTCCTAGGAGTTTTTAGTTCTGAAATACCTTTATTGCACCTGAGCTACTGGGACATGCCTAGGAAACTGACCTATAGAATGAAATTCAAATTTTATTCCATGGTGTTCTAAGAATATTTTAAAATCAATTTGCTTTTTTGTTTGGCTTGTTTTAGTTTTTTGAGACAGTCTCATGTAGCCCAGACTGACCTCAGACTTGCTGTGTTGCTAAGAATGTCCTTGAATTCCTGATCTTCCTGCCTCTACCTCCAAAATGCTGGGATTTACAGGTGTGCGCTACACCTGGCTCAGAATTTTTTTCAAAACCTAAAATATTCTGAGTTTGTATATAACTGCTGTCACAAAGCTACCTGGCTACAAGTGGTCGTCGTGAACACATTCTCTTCCTTCTCAATTCTTCTTGTCTTTTTTTTTTTTTTTTTTTTTTTTTTTGTTTTTTTTTAACAGGGCGGGCCTTTAACCC